CTCTCTGCTTGCCCAGGTGCCCTTGCCAGCCACGTTTTCAGAGATCCCAGGATTTTTGTGGCACTCCAAATTTCTCTGGTGACACAGAGGGTTGAGTCAGGCTGCACAGACCTCCGTGCATCAGCCCAGCTCGCTGGGAAATGGAGCGGCCAAGAGCCCGTGTAGCAATGCTCCCTCTAGAGCTGAAGGCTGCTCCCTTCCACAGACCTGCACACACCACGGGATAAAAACCCTAATCTTGAGCTCCGCTTGTGTGTCAAGCAAGGAAAGCGACTCGTTCCCATGCCCTTCACTTCAGGCTTACATTCCAGCAGCAGCCTAGGTGTGTGGGGTCTGTAGCTGAGGCTTTTTCCCGTCGGGATGGCCGGGGAGGCGCAGCCGGGGATGCTCGGGCAGGGCGGGCGCATCCCGGAGCGGCGCTAGATGGGGCTGCGCGCCCGCTGCTCGCTCCGGTGCCCCCGCCGATGGGAAACGCCTCCAGAGCTCCAGCTGGGAGCAGAGCCCAGAGCTGCATTTGCTAACCGAAGGGAGCCCTCCCCGGAGCTGCTTTCATGGGCATTTCACCTCATCTGTTTTTATAGCGCCGCGTAAAATTCAGCATCTCTTACATGCGAGCCCCCAGGTCTGCTCTCAAGCACGGGGACGGCTTTTCGGTACCCAGGTATTTAAAATTATCGAAATTTCTAATGCAGCCTGAGCTGCTAGAAGTGGCTGGGGATATCCCGTTGCAGCGGGAGGTTCCAGCCCAAGCCATCCCCCAGGTGTCCCCCCAGGCTGCAGAGCTACAAACTCACATTCAGTTCCTCCCATCTGTATAAGCACGAACATAGCAAAACCTGGATCTGATAATAGTCCTAAATTCCCCTTCTTCTGAGACAAAGTTTCCCTTAATGGTCTGACAGCTGGACCAAGGTACCTGAGAGCTGCTGAGGGACTGGGGTGTCCAGCTGCACCTATGTCCCTCGCCAGCACAAATCAGTTTAAATCAGGTTTCCAAGAAGGGAAACTTCTGAGAAACACTGAGAGTGCAGGTTAGGTGCTAGATGGGTCATAGAGTAGGCTTAGAAATTAAGCCTGATAAAACCAGGCAGCAGAAATGGTGACAGGGTTCACACTCTCATGACAATGCAGGGGAAAACTCCTTGGGGTTTTGAGCTAAGCCATGATCTGACCCAATTATTTCCTTCTATAAATAGGAAAGGACTTGCTTAAAAATAACCCCAGACCTCTCTACCCAGCTATAAAGCTGAAAATGCTCACAGTAATCTTTTTACTTGACCAATAGAACATCCTTTCTTTCTTTGTGAGGATTTTGCATTAAAAAGGTACAATATGAACAACTGTGGTAACCTGTACACTTCTTTCTTGGACAGAGCAGTATAGTGGGGTCATAAAACAGCCCAGGACACATATCCTGATCTTTTCCTACAGGTACAGCAACACCAAGCCCTGAAATGCTACACCAGCTGCTGTTCATAAGCTTCTGCTCTCCTCAGTGGAAAGGAAAAGTTGGCCAGAAATTTTTGCTGAGCTATTTTGTGATCATTTATGTTACAGCAGCAGGACAGACCCAAGCACACAGTGACAAACAGGGTTGATCCTGGCAGCTACAGAACTGCTGCAAACATTCCTAAGGCTGCACTCAGGTGGTCAAGTGAGATGTGTGTATACCCCAAACCTCCTCTGCACCATATCCTTCGTCCCCCCCAAGTCCTTTTCTCTGGTTTCACTGCTGCAGCCACTTAACCCAGCAGCCAAAGTCTTCACACCACTTGAAAACAAAACTTCATTGCAGCTTCTCTATCTGCTCCATCAGGTCCTCACATCACCTCATCCTTAGTTCAGCCTAAGGCAGCGGGAAAGTAATTCCAGCTCCTGCAAAATGGGTTTGTTTGGGATCTTATAAGCTCAGATCAGGTAAAAAAGGGATGGAAAAGGGGGGAAATTTGCAAATAGCAGTGTTTCTGCTTCCCTCCATACTGGCTTACACACTGAAGGCCCAAGCTATGGCTCAAGACCTCCTTGAGCTACAGATTCTTTTAGCTGCATAGCAGGAACACAAAAATCAACGGAAAGGAAGTGCCTGATGCTCAGCACTGCTGCAGCTGCTTGGATTTCCAGTTTTCCTTTTTCAGAGAGATGAACTCCAGCTTGTGGAAAATGGGTTTTTCTGCAATTTGCCCACCACATTCTGAGTAGCCCCCTCCAAGCAGCTTCAGTGCCTGACCACTGCCAAAGCCATCCCCTGAAACTGGAAATGCCTCCTTGCAATGGCCAGGGCTCCTCGCTGCCCACGAGGAAGGAGCAGGAGTGGCTGCACTGAACAAGAAGGAATTGTTCTCCTCTATGGCATATGCAGGAATTTGGAAGAAGTTGGTTTTGGCCTGAGCACAGGAGAGGGAGGCTGTGAAAACAAATGACCAGGCAGATGACCCCAAAGGGAGGTAAACTATGTATGCTCAGCCCTGCTCAACTCTCTAAGTGTGAGAAGCTTTAATTCTGCTTCACAGGACAGAAAACACAAGTGTTGACAGGCATCAGAATTTCAGTCAAGATTCAGTCACAGGTGTGTCTGGGTTTTTTTCTTAAACCACAAAGAGGTGATACACAAGTGCTTGGACAAGGAGAAAAGGGTAAATCTGCTGGAACAAGCACTCCCCCACTTGACAACCCAGTGCTGGCAATTCCTGGCTTTTCACATCCACATAAACCACAGGAGCAGTCACAGCAGAGTTGATTTAACTCCTGCCTCCTACCTTGAGCATGCTGTCATGTCCTTAAGAAAGTCAGCTACAGGTGATAGTTTAGACTGCAGCTTGTGAGGAACACATACTACCCACCCCACCCCCCCAAAAAAAAAAAAAA